AAGGCACTTTGTCAGATGGATGCTGCAGTACGTGCTGTAAAGGTGACCTGCTGAACGAGGAACCACCCTGTCCCCTCCCATCTCTTTGTGAGAGCAAAAGAGATCATCCCCAGTTGCCTCTCTTCAAAGTGTGATGCCAGTCTCACCTTCAAGGTGAGTTGCCAGTCTGGCTTTGAAGCACTTGCCACAGCTTTCTGGCCCTTTCTCACCTTTTGCAAGCCTGGGAAGCTGCTGCGTTGGGCTCCTGCTGAGGGAGTCTAAGCAGGTCAGCTAAACTGTTGCTGTTCCAGAAATGAGGCGTGGGAGAAGGATTTGCAGTTTCTGTCGCCTACAGCTAGGTAAGACAACAAGGCAGCATAGCTCCATGAAGTCACTCCTCTGCTGGCTGTCCTGCAGCTCTTTATGGGGAACAGCCAGGATACTTCTTAACTTGCAATGCCTGAGGGAGAGGCAATAGAGGGGCAGCAAGCCTGGGGCTGTCCCTGTGCCTCTCTGGGCCACTGCCCTGGGACCTGCAGTCCAGCTGTGCCTCAGCATCCCTCTGCAGGTGCACATGAGCTCTAGAAGAGACAAGAGGTTAAGACGCCCACCCTTCCATGGGCCTTTCTGCCAACTGGTGCTATGGGAAAGCAGGGCTGCTCCCCTCTGTGCTTGCAGGGCTGGAGGAAACGTGCTGATGCTATGCAAAAGTTCCCACTGCCAGCTCTCCCTAAACATTAACTGCTCACCTGACACTCACTGAACCATAAAGAGTGAAAGCCAGCCAGGCTGAGCCATAGTCCTACAAAGAGAGTATCTTGGAGGAGTGGGGCACCAGCACATGGCAGCTCTTGGGGCGAGCCTGGGGTGTGCATGGAGGGGTGGCCAGCAGGAAGCAAGCCCTGGGCTCCTGCCCCCACCTCAGAGGTTGGTGTGAGCATGCACTGATGTTTGTGCAGCTGCTCAGCTCTACTGGCGTGACATTCCCTGTCCCCTGGCCATCGTCCTGTTGTTAGTGGAGGCAGAGTGTCCAGGCATTAGACAAGACCTGGGTCCTGCCTGCCCTATCCCTGGCATTTGCTGCCAGCTTATTCCAGCAAGAGAGGGGACTCGGGTGCCTCTTTCTGTCCCATTTGCCTCGTCCCCTGATCACTGCTGAAGCAGGAGCTGGGAAGAATGTGGGGGAGGGAGGATAACCTGCTGTGAACAGCACTTCTGCCCGTGCACTGGGGTTGGAAATCGGCAGTATTGGGAAACTTCTCATCTTACTGCAGGCTGCACTTGTCTGGCACTAGCAAGGAGACTGAGGAGGGAGGGCAGAGAGGCTCAGTGCCATGACTGCAGGGAGGGGCAGAGCCAGGAGGCACGCATGCTGTGCCACAGCTGCTGGTACCCACTGTGCCTCTTGCCTAGGAGCTCTTTCCAGCCTTGTCCTCCACTTGCTGTGCCTTTAACGTTTCACGGAGGAGGAGAGACTTTGTAGCTGCCTTCTGGCTTGTAATCTCCTCCCCACCCCCATGAACATCCTAAAACCACCCCTGCCATGTCTATGCTCCCCAACAGCCTCCCTGTTCTTGCCCTGGCTGGCGAGGGCCTGGTTGGGTCTCACCGCACTGCGCCTGATGCTGGGAGCAAGCAAGTTATGGAGAACAGGAAAAGCTATTGGTGCTCAGCTGGAGCAGGAGGAGGCTTCCTCTCCCAGAGCAGGGCTGTTGGCAGCGGGCTGCAGGTCTGGGCTGCTCCCAGAGCATGGGGAAGCCCTGCTTGGCCACTGTCTCAGCTGGAGCACTCGTTACATGATGGATGGGATGGGGCAGGGTGGTCCCGGGAGCTGAGCTCCCTGTGCCCTGGGCCAGGTGGGGGAGCAAAGGGAAGGGTTTCTGCCCTGGGGAGCTCCTGGCTCAGGGGAGTAGCAGGGCAGCCCGGGGGTTTTTTCTCCCTGCTGGGGCTGGGCCGGATAGGGCAGAAGGGCGCTGCTGAGGAGCTACTGCCTGTTGCACCCGGGACTCTGCAAGGGCAAGCGGGAGCTGCCCGAGCGGGAGGCAAACGTGCCTCCCAGGGCAGGGATTTGGGGGCTGCCTGGGCGCAGACCCGGCCTGCCCCTGCCCCGGGGCTCGGCCCCTGCCTGTGCCTCTGCAGGTGCTGCTGTGGCTGTGCGGGCAGGCCGGGGCCCGCCGCGGCTCGCCCGAGGCTCTGGGGCGGGGGGCAATTTACATTTCATCAGGAGCGCCGTGCAGGCGGTCTGCAACCCAGCCCCTCTGCCTGCTGCCCGTACTGGTTTCCTCCCACCGCACCCGGCCGCATCCAGGCACACGCAGCACTAGACACCCTCGGCCGGGCCTTCTCTTTCCGCTCCAGCCCCGGGCTGGGGCTGCCGCCTTTCCACGGCTTCGGGGCCGGGCGCGGGGGAAGCTGCAGGTAGAGCCTGTCTCTGCATAGTTAGCATTCCCAGCCCCGGCGTCCTGCTCGCTCCCGGTGGACTGGGGCAAGTCTGAGACATCAGGGGGATAGTTCTTTCCTTTTCAAATCTAAGGTAGGGCGTGGACCCTCTCAGGTATGGGGCAAGTGCTCAAATAGTGGCCAGTATCTCTTCTCTCTGGGTAGCAGGTCTGCCCCCCACCCTTGCCCTACTTGTGTCCTGGGCTAGCCATTCAGTCCCTCTCTGCTAGCCAGGGGGAGACAGGGTGTGTTCTGCCGCTGTCCTGAGCCCCCCGAAATCTTTCCATGATAGGACAAAGTCTCCTACACCTGGCCCAGGAAAGGAGGAGGCAGGTGCTGGGTAGGGGGTAGATAATCCTGGTCCTTTCCTTATCATAGTAAAGGAGGATATTTGAGGCCTGGGAGCAGGAAGAGGGCTGGAAGGAGAATGGATTCCTCTGAATTCAGTTTGGGCAACTCCGTGCCTGTGGCGCTGGGGGCTCTTGAGTAGAAAGCGAATTTAATCTCTTGTTTTGTTTGTTCTTTCTTCCTCTGGAAGGGGGGCCTACGGGGCGTGTGGGGGGAGCTTGGGTTTGAGAGCGGGGAGGGGGGGGGGAAGTGTCAGATCTGGAAGGGAGGAGTAAAGGGAGGACGGGAACGGCAGCCCCGGGAGGGAGCAGCAGCAGTGGGCTGCCAGCCGGCTGGGGAGACGCCGAGGAGGGAGGCAAGGGGAGAGGCAGGTAAGGAAATGGAAATCGCCGCCTGAGGGGAAGGCGAGCGTCTAGTTGAGGAGCAGGACAAGGGGTGGCTGAAGGGGTGGGTGTGCTATGAGGGGGGGGGATGGATGGAATCCTTGGGTTCCATCTGGGAGAAGTTTTGGAAGCTGGCTTGCTGCAGGTCCCATCCTGGCTCCCAAAAGTGCCGTCTTAGTAGTGTGCTCCCGTGCAGGTTGGGGGCAGAGTACTGTTCCTGCAATGAGGGGGTATGGGGGCAAGCAGGAGCAGGACAGGCTCTGCTGTGTGCCACCACCTTCTCTATCCTTTGTTAGTGCTGTTTATTCCCTGTCCCTCAGCTTCCCAGACTGCTGGATGCTGACTGACCTCCCTGATCTTTCCTCACTGCTCCCTTGCCCCTCCTGCCTGGCCTGGGCATCTCCCAAACTTTGTGTGGAGCTCAGCATGTGGGATGGGAGGCAGCTGATAGCAGCACATGGAGACCTGGCCATGTCTAGCGAGGCCTATGGCTGTGGCAGGGACAAGGGGTGCCTGGGCATGGTGGGCTCCATGTGTCAGCTCCCCTTTCCCTCCCATGCCCGTGCTTGGTCTGCTCTACAGAGCAGAAAAGGAGGTCAATGCCGGGCCTGGCTTGCAGGATGCTGTGGTGCCAGCAGGACCCCTTCTCTGCCAGGAAAAGGAGTGCAGCGCTCAGGTGCCATCCCTACTGCCATGTGGACACAGCAGCATCCCCAGTGGGTTAGGATGGCCATGCTCCCTCGGGCTGCCCATGCCCCAGCCCTTGCGATGCCTGAGTATTTCTCACTGAAGGTGGATGGAGCCATCCATCCATCTCAGCTGCGATTCCTGCAATGGGCAGGCGTTTTGCACCCCGGCCCCAGGGGCCCGGGGGAGGGGGGGCGGGGGTGGTGTGCTCTCCCAAGATGCCTGCTCGAGGCCCCGCGGCCTCAGGGGCATCTGCACATCAATGGACTTCAGGCGGGTGTGTGCAGGGGGAGCAGACCCTAATCCGGCCCATTCATCCCGACGGCAGCTTTTGTTGAGCCTCCAGATGTTGCTGCACCGAGGGGAGGGGGACAGAGCGAGGCCAGGCTGCGGGGTGAGGTGGGTGTCCCCTGCCCTTGGGGTCTCTGCCGGCCCGGGTAGCTTGCTCCGGGGGACCCGGGGCAGGTTCTCCGCCGGTCCCGAGCCATGGGGGTGCTCGGGAGCGTCCCGCCCGCGGGGCGAGGGGCCTGCTCCGGCCGCCCCGTGCCCCAGCGGGCCGGGGGACGAGTTTCACCGAAGCGTTTGGGTTTTTGCCACCGAAATGGGCGGCGGTGTTGGGTGCGGGAGTTCCCCGAGCCCGCCGGGCCCCGGCCGGCCCCGCGCCGCGGCTTTGAGGCCATCTCCCCGGAGCAGCCCCAGCCCCTCGGCCTGCCCAGGCGGCGGGGGAGGGACCGCGCTCCCTCCCACGGGCAGGCTCCGTCAACCGCCCGGCTCAGGGAGGCCTCGCAGCATTGCCTCTCCCCTCCCCTGGGAGCCTTGGCCTGTGGGATGGCAAGGAGCAAGGCACAGCTGGGGTGAAATGGCTTGGAGATCTCCTTCCCACCCCCTTCCATGTTTGAGGTACCCCCTCCGTGGGCTTTGCAGCCCTGGCAGGCTGGCAGGACAAGTCTTGGGGAGATGCCCAACACCCCAGCACAGGGCAGGAAGGTGCTGGCTGGGAGAAACTGTTTCTGGAGTGTTGACAGGCATCTGTCTTACCACTGCACTTGTCCAGTTGCTGTCCTAGAGGGAGAAGGCAATGGGGGATGTCCTGCTGGGGAGATGTCAAGACACGTGGGTGCAGGCTGTTGGTGACACTTCTCTTTGCTTCCCTGCCCCTCACAGGCTCTAGGATGCTGGGGCCAGCCGGGCTCGGGTTGCCCACCTGATCCTTGCCATCCGTGTCCTGCTGGCACATCATGTTGTGCTCCTGGCGCACAAAGCTGAAGCTGCTGCTCGCCACGGTGACCCTGACCATCCTCCTCTCCTGGCTCTACCTCTTTGTGGGGAGCCTTGAATGTGAGTGAGCCCTTCTCTTCCTCCTTGGATCAAGGGAAGGTGCAGCAGGGGGTGGGCAGTAGGGGCTGAGGCCTTGGGGTGGTTGCTCTGTGGGCATGCAAGTCGTTGCAGGTGTATCTAAACTGGGGACATCTCCAGGGGCATGTGTAGGGATCAGGGGAGCAGAGCTGTGATGTTGGCTGGACACTTGTGAGGTATGCTGGGATCTCTCACCTGGGGCCATCTACACTGCGCCCTCCCAGCCTTGCCATACTCATCACATAACCCGTGTCTCTTCCACAGATGGCCGCTTCCTCCTGCTGCCACCCTGCCTGGGCGAGCAGCCAAGCCGGGATGTGGAGCGGGAGGCTCTGGCCTCACGGGTGCGCAGGGTGGAGGAGGAGAACCAGCAGCTCCGCCTGCAGCTCAGCCAGGCTCAGATGGAGGGCAGCGATGGCAGCCCACAGTGGGGAACCTCTGCCGAGGATGGAGATCTCCCCGGGGGCGAGAGGAGCAATCGCACAGCCTGCCCCAAGCAGCGGACAGTGCACAAATGTGAGGTGGGTGATGGCACTGGCACGGTGATATTGTGGGATGGGAGGCTGAGACCCTGGTGGAGCATGGATGTATGTGCAGTCCACTTGGCACTGTTCTCCCTATGCTCTGGCCATGCTGGGGCCTCATCCTGGCTCTCCATGGTGCTCAGTGAGCCACAGTCAGTGGGTGAGGGTATCTTCCTTCTCCAGAGAGAGAGGCCAGGTAGGCAGAGTGGCAGCCAGACTCCTGGTCCCCTTGTTTCTGAAGTGGGGAACTCCTGCCTCTCTCTGGGGCTCCTTCCATAGGGGATGTGGTGGGTTATGGAGTCTCTCCCTGTGGCATGGTCCCAGGGAGGAGCTGATAGTCCCTGAAAGGAGGGGCTGTCCAATCTCAAAAAGGCACTATTTGTCTCTGGGCAGCTCCTGCATGTTGCAATTGTGTGTGCCGGGCACAACGCGAGCCGGGACGTGGTCACCCTGGTGAAATCCATCCTCTTCCACAGGTAATGGGGAAGTGCTGTGCCAGAGGCCCACTATTTGGGATTCTGAGATGAGCTGCTGCAGGGGCAGTGCTGTGGGAGAGGGGCTAGGGCTCCTCTCTAGCCCCTGTGCCACTGCTTAGAGGGACAGAGAGGGATTTGTTTCCCCCAGAGGGTTGATTTTTCTGCATTTGCCCCCTCAGCTGATGTCTGTCCCTTGGCAAGGATGGGAGTGATGGGGACCGTGTCCTCTTCATGCCACTGTGGTGCTGAGTGCTACTGTGTTTACCCTTGGCAGGAAGAACCCCCTCCACTTTCACTTCATCACAGATTCCGTGGCCCACCAGATCCTCCAGACACTCTTCCAGTCCTGGATGGTGCCTTCTGTACACGTCAGCTTCTACAACGCCGATGACTTGAAGGCAGGCACTTGCCCTTCCCTTTGCCCTGTCCCAAGCCAGTGCTCAGAGGGTTGAGGGGAGTAGCAAAGAGGAGCGAGCAGGTGGAGGTTCATTAGCTTTTTCTTGCTGGTCCCTCACTCACCCCCTCAACTTTCTGGGCTTGTTAATGGTGCAGCTGATAAAGGGGTTCAGGGCTGGTACTGGAGGGGTGGGGAGGCCTCTCTGGGTAGCCCTGCCTCTGTGGCAGAGCTGAGTCCCTCAGCGAGCACTGAAACACTGGGGTCCAGATGGGCATTCTGGTGGCTGAAGGGAATGCTCCAGGCTTGGCTGACTCCACAGCAACGTGTGCCCTTCTGTTGCTGGCCTCATCTGCACGGGATACTGGGCACACAGAGCTGTCTTGCCCAGGCAGGGGAAGGGCTTGGCCATGCCCAGCCCTGAGCTGTGTTGCCTTGCAGCCGGAGGTGTCGTGGATCCCCAACAAGCACTACTCTGGCATCTACGGGCTGATGAAGCTGACGCTTACCAAGGCACTGCCCTCCAACCTCTCCAAGGTCATCGTCTTGGACACTGACATCACCTTTGCTACCGACATTGCTGAGCTCTGGGCTGTCTTTGGGAAGTTTTCTGGTGAGGACAGGGTGCCCCTGGGGCTCTGTCAGGGGCCTGGGTGCTGGGCTCAGGGTGGCAGTCCCCTCCTGCCACAGAACCAGTGCAGTGCATTTGCTTAGGCCCTCTGAACCGATAACGAGCTGCATCCATGGCCCTCTGTTTCCTCAGAAAAGCAGGTGATTGGGCTGGTGGAGAATCAAAGCGACTGGTATTTGGGCAATCTGTGGAAAAACCACAAACCATGGCCGGCCCTGGGACGTGGCTTCAACACGGGTGAGTGTGGGCTGCCAGGGTGGGCCCTGCAGCCTCATGGCACATCCAGCTGGGGCAACGCTTGGCACAGGGAGGCTGGGAAAGGCTGAGGTGAAGCAGGAGAGCCTGATGAGAATGAAGTGGCTGCTACAGCATCCTGGGCTAGTGTGGGTGGGAGCAGAGAAGCGGTATATCCCAGGGGATGAAGGAATGCAGGCTGCTGTGCTCCAGCTCTGTAGTGCTGGGTGCTCCCTCAGTGACCCAGTACCCTCTTCTCTGGCACTCAGGAGTGATCCTGCTCCTGCTGGACCGCCTGCGTCACCTGGGCTGGGAGCAGATGTGGCGGCTGACGGCAGAGCGGGAGCTCATGAGCATGCTCTCCACCTCACTGGCCGATCAGGTAATGGTTCTTCCCCTGGGGTGGGGGGCCCTTCTGCATTCCCATAGCACTGCTGGCATGGGGGCGTCTTCCTCTTCCACCCATACCCTCACCTTTCTCCCTCCTAGGACATCTTTAATGCGGTGATCAAGCAGAACCCATCCCTGGTGTACCGGCTTCCCTGCTTCTGGAATGTGCAGCTCTCTGATCACACCCGCTCAGAGCAGTGCTACACTGAGCTTTCAGATCTCAAGGTGGGTGGGTTTGCTGCCTTTGGAACTGTAGGAGGGCCTGAAGGACACTGAAGGTCCAGGGGAGTCAGCATGGGGTCCGAGGGCTTGGGGAGCACTGGGTGCTGCTGGCTTCCCTTCCGTGGGGTGACACATTACTGCCCAGGTGATCCACTGGAACTCACCCAAGAAGCTGCGGGTGAAGAACAAGCATGTGGAGTTCTTCCGTAACCTCTACCTGACCTTCCTGGAGTATGATGGGAACCTGCTGCGCAGGGAGCTTTTTGGCTGTGCCGGTCTTCCCAGCCCACCCAGGGACCAGGTGAGGCTGATTGCTACTGCCCCCAGCCCCAGAGCATGGGATGGGCAGAGACCACATACAGCCTCCCCAGCACCCTGTGGGGCTCTTGCTCTCCTTCACCTTCATGATGTTGCAGCTACAGCAGGCGCTGGAGGAGTTGGATGAGGATGATCCCTGCTATGATTTCCGCCAGCAGCACCTCACACAGCACCGCATCCACCTGTTCTTCCTGCAGTATGAGTTCTTGGCGTTTCCCAACCCTACTGATGTCACCCTCGTGGCCCAGCTCTCCATGGACAGGTACTTGCTGGTAGGACCAGTGGGAGGTTAGATCCCACCTCCCCTCCTTAGCTTTGGAGCTACCAGGGCTTCTCATCTCATTATCCTCACACCAGCATTTTACAGTTAGGAACAACACCCCAAGCTGGGAACATCATTTCCTCCTGCACTGGGCTCAACTGGCATGCAGCTCTCTGGCAGGTGCCCCGTTCTGGGTTTGGTGAAGCTGCCAGAGGGCAGGTCTGCTGCTCATGCGCTGCCCTCTGCTTCCCAGGTTACAGATGCTGGAGGCCATCTGCAAGCACTGGGCAGGCCCCATCAGCCTGGCCCTGTACATGTCGGACGCTGAGGCTCAGCAGTTCCTGCGCTACGCCCAGGCCTCGGAGGTGCTGAGCGCCCGCCGCAACGTCGCCTACCACATTGTCTACAAGGAGGGGCAGTTCTACCCCATCAACCTCCTGCGCAACGTGGCCCTGGCCAACACGCAGACGCCGTACGTCTTTCTGACGGACATTGACTTCCTGCCTATGTATGGCCTCTACGATTACCTCAGGTAAGGCTTTCTCCAGCCAGCTCAACCTGCAGGGCTCCCCAGGCACCAGAGTTTTCAGGAAAAGCCCTGGGCAGCAGTCCTCAACAACAGGCCTGGGAGCCGTTCCCTTTGTGTTCAGCCTCAGGATCCTGCCCTTGCTTTTGTCAGAGAAATGAGGATCCACTCAGTGGATGAGGAAGGGGCTCTGGCTGTGAGCATTGGACAATTTGCAGGGGTACCATGCAGGGGTAGGAGGAATGGGGCAAAGACATCAGTATCCTTCTGGAGTGGTATGCAGGCTGGAGGGGCTGAGGAAGAAGGCTGTGGCCATGGCTTGCAGCCAGGGAGACCTCATACCCTTCCTATCACCACAGGAACTCCATCCAGCAGCTGGATCTGCCCCAGAGGAAGGCAGCTCTCATTGTGCCGGCGTTTGAGACCCTGCACTACCGCCTGACCTTCCCCAAATCCAAAGCAGAGCTGCTCTCCATGCTGGACATGGGCTCCCTCTACACCTTCAGGTAGGGACTGGAACTGCCCCACTATCCAGGGGGGGCTGACAGAAACTAGTTTTGTACCCTTGTGCCTTGGGACTGTGCACCCCCTGTCTCAGGGGACCCCCTGCATCCTCCTCCTGTCTCAGGGAGCTGCCAGCTTTGCCCAGTGTCTCGTTTCCGTCTCTCCCCGCAGGTACCACGTGTGGCCAAAAGGCCACGCCCCAACAGACTACGCCAAGTGGCGGACGGCCACCATGCCATACCGTGTGGCATGGCAGCCAGACTTCGAGCCTTACGTTGTAGTGAGGCGAGATTGCCCCAGGTATGACCAGAGGTTCGTGGGCTTCGGCTGGAACAAAGTATCCCACATCATGGAGCTGGACGCGCAGGTGGGTGAGGGGCCGCTCCTGGCACCACAGAGGCGCTGGATGTGGGGGCTTCTGGCCAGGCAGTGACATGTTGGTACCACCAAGCCGATGCTGTTGCTCTGTCCCCTCTCAGGAGTATGAGCTGCTGGTCCTGCCCAATGCCTTCATGATCCACATGCCCCATGCCCCCAGCTTCGACATCTCCAAGTTTCGCCTGAGTGCAGGGTACCGGGGCTGCCTCCAGACGCTGCGGGAGGAGTTCCACCAGGACCTGTCACGGCGATATGGGGCTGCTGCGCTCAAATACCTCACCGCCGAGAGAAGCCTGTGACGCCCAGGGACAGTGGGTGCAGGATACAAGCAGCACACTGGGAGGATGCAGGGCCTCCCTCCTGCCCCTGCCCACCACTGCAGCCCAGCCTGAGGGAACGGAGTTGGCAGCACAGCCTCTCCAGCCCACCAAAGGGATACCCATAGATAAGGTGGAGGATATCAGCTGCAAGAACAGGCAGTGCCTGGAGGTCAAGCTGCCACAGCCTTCCTGTGTTACAGGGGAACCTCCTTATGCCAGGGGGTCAGCTCTCCTCTCTCCTCTCTTTTAGTAGATGTGGGTTCCCTAGTCTTCACTAGCTCACTTGACCTTGAGGCCTGGCTTCTCCAGAGGCCTGGGAGCTGTGCCATACTCTGTTCTGCCTCTGCTCAGTGGTGCCAGTTCCAGTCCTTGCATACTCCTCTAGGGCTTTGGTGAGTGGGAGATGAGGTGGTAGATCATCCCTCTGTGGAGCAGGCTCAGAGGAAGCTTCCCAACACCTGGGAACTCCAGCCAAGGGAGTACCAGGAGTTGTTGGAGACCTGGTTCAAGCACAGATCAAGGCTAGTGGTTAACAGCGGAGAAGTATTATTACTCCTGATCCGTATGGATGCAGTCTCCAGTGGAGTTGGCCCTATACCGGTGGTGCTGGAGTCACCCAGAGCAGGATGAGCTCCCAGAGCAGGACAGGCTGTCTGCTGTCCCCAGAATGAGCTCCCTGGATAGGCCAGCACCTTCCAGCTGGCAGCAGCCGTGGCAGTGACAGACCTGTCTTGTGTTGGCAGTGCCCCACAGGGCAGGGCTGTGAACCATGGCCAGGAGCAAAACAGCAGCTTCACAGGCCAGTGCATGCTGAGAGGAGTTTCTGGCAGGGACCACCCTGCTCCTCCCCAGCTCCCGGCAGCGCAGTCGTTGCCATCAACAATCAGGGATGTGACTGACACTGGAAAAGACCATAGCTGAGCACTGTGGCAGGAACCCTGTGCCAGGAGCAGCTTGACCGGACACTGTTCTACCACTATCACACACTGGAGCACAGAGGATGCATTGCTTTCCTCACGCTGTTTAAATTATTTAATACTTTCCTCATAAGAATTCAGTAATTAGGGTGTCTGGGGTTCTTCTTTTTTAATCCTTTTTTCCTCCAAGATGATTTTGCTAGCAGCCCTGGAGGCTCTCTGGGCCACTTGCTGCTGCAGCCTCTGCTGTTCTCTCCTTAGCTTTGCTCTGGGCTGCAAGAGCTAGAGCTAGCTCTGTGCAGGGGTGAGGATTTCCGTCCATGGTGGGAGTGACTAAGAGGAGCCATACAAAGCACGGGGTATGGAAAGGGCACAAGCGCCTCTTGCTTTTTTTCTCTTTTTAATTTAATTTTTAAATTAAAGCTTTTTTATTCTTTTTCACGTTCTTGTTAGAACTGCCTGGTTATTAATTTTTTCTGCTGTGAACCTGCACATGTCTCCTGGAGGGAAGACAGCAGGAGTGCAATGGAAGAGTGGAGCCTGAGCCTTGGCTGTGGAAAAGCATCACTAGGCTTGTTTGAAACCTTTTCCTGTTGGGCTGGCACAGGGGGGAGGTTAAGGAACAGGGAGCAGCAGCATGCAAAAGAAATGCCTGTGTGACCAAGTCCCCTGGCAGTCCCCTGCCAGCTCTGAAAGGGTTGGTGGGCTCAAGTCTGATGGTTCCCAGCACTGCAGCAGGGCCCAGGGAGCCTGCCTGCATAGCCAGCCCCCCTGAACTGGATCCTGGGGCTTCATGGTTTAGGCATGTAGTCAGTTTAAACACCCCCAAGCAGAAAGGATGTAGTTTCATCTGGCGGTGCTGCAGCTCATCCTCAAGAGCAGTGTGCAGAGCTGGATGCCGTGCCGTGACCTGCAGGACCTTTCCTCGACCAGAGGAGGGAGGACAGGCACCCAGCTCTGGCCACAGTGCAGGCAGTGGGACCAGGCGGGGCTCTGCTGAACAGCCTTGGCTTTGTAAGTGTGTTGGGAATAAAAGCTGGCTCTTTGGCCCTATGAGCCACCAGCCTTGCATCGGCGGGGGGTGGATGAGGGTGGTTTGCCAGGAGCAAGTGTTGAGGCTTTATTTGGGAAAGGGCTGGGAAGACATTACTCATCACGGTGAAGTCAAGCACAGCTCCACCCCACCAGTCCCTAGCAAGCAGCTTTTGTTTAATATAACCAAAGCTCACCAATACTGCACTGCTGCTGCACTAAGCAACACAAGGGTTAGATCACAGCAGTGCTGGGATGGAGCAGGCCTCTTCCAGGCGATTATTCGATGGCTAGGAGGCAACAGAAGTGCTGTCTCTATAGTTACTTTGGAAGGTGGCACGGGCATGCCTGTAGAAGGAGATCTGAGCACCATAATTTTCAGATGATAATCCTTCCCAACCTATACAGTCAGCCCAAAATGTGCCTAAGAGGGTGGAGGTACTTGAAAGTAAACCCAGCTCAGGTTGTTCTCTGTCGGGCAGCATCAGCTGGGAGGCACCCCCTGAGTCAGAACCAGGATGTTACCTGAACTGAGCACAGCCCCTTTTGGAGCTAAAATTCATTTCTGCTAACAGTGTCCTTCTCCTTGCCAGGAAAGCGGAGTGCGCCACAGCCGCCGCACAGAGCCATGCTCAAAAACCCCTCTTGGGGCTGGGGATTTGCTACGGGCACTGCACCACCCCCTGTGCCTGTGGGACCTGCTGTCCCCACCTGGTACATACAGCTAAGGAGACAAGAGATTTTACCGTGTTTTATTTAGTAAAATGTTAAAATAAATAAATACAAATTGATCAGATGCTCTGTATCCCCTCCCCCCAACTTTAATTTGCTAAAATCTAAACACATTTGTACCAAAACTGAAACCACAAGGAACTTGAAGGCAGCAGAGACTGCAGATCACTATGAGCATCAGGCTAAAAAAAATAGAGATATTTAAAAAACCCAAACCAGCTCACAAGTCGGTGTTCTCATGGTGTGATTCTGTGACAACAGAGCAGTACCAGTCAGAAAGGGCATTTTACACCAGGGCCTGCAAGGACAGGAGATTGGCGGGGAACGGGGCAGCACAGGTGGCACCGGCTCACAGAGGGCAGAGCCACGGCCTTGCCTTCACAAACCCAGCTGGGAGAGAAGCTGCCATCATCCCTGCACAGCACCAGGCCCGTGGCTGTGGAGCAGCACCACCAGAACAGGGGGCTGTTCACCAAAATCACCTGGAGAAATCAGACAGGCTGGAGGAGGGACCAGGGTTTGAACGCAGAGCCCTTCAGGGTCAGCTCCTGCTCCGAGCCCATGGCAGGACTTCTGCTTTACAGCTTGGTCTTGGATGAAACACTGGGGTGGGAGTGGGGGAATGGGATGAAGCACAGCACACAGGCAGGGGGGTGGTATCAACAAATCTACTGAGACGGTGTCACCGTGATCACAGGAACACGAAGCTGTGATTGAGGCCTGAGTATTTTCTCTAAACGAGCAGAGCTGCCTTCACAGTCCTCCTGCCCTCAGCTGCAGATGACACGGTGTTTGCAGATTAGAGCCAGTTAGCCCCAGCAAAGACAAAATTTGGCATGGGCAGCCACCCCAGTGCTGCACCAGACCTCCCAGGCAGCAGCAGCTCACCACCACTTCACTGCTGTTGACACAGCAAAGTTATTTCCTTCCTCCACAGGTGCCTGAACAGGTCAGCACTAGTAGGATCCCCCCTTCCTGCTGGTACCTCGCTTAAGCTTTGCTTAATGGAGTTTGCAAGGCATGCTTTGCTTCTGTGGGGCTATGAGAAGCAGCCAGGATGCCTCTGACGGTGTAAGACGGCGCTTGGGGCAACCCTACAGCTGTAACTGGAGTGAAGCAGCTTTCTGGACACAACTGCCTGCTGGCTCTGGTTGCGTGGGGCTGCCAGGAACCTGACCGAGTCCCAGGGGCTTCTGCAGGAGCAAAAACCTTCTTTAAGGAGGGTCTTGGCTGCCTGTCATGTATGGCATCAGGAGCAACTCAGAGACAACATGCCTTGGAGAGCTGACAGGTAAGACACTATGCCTGGCTCGAGAGTCAATCACTGCTTTGATGTCAGTGATAATTTAGGTAAAGAAATATGAGACTATGATTAGAAATTACACAGTAGCCCAGAACAAGCAGAAACACGCAGCCTCCTGCGGCACCCAGCACAGAGCTGCTTCTCAACAATGCCTACCCCAGTGCCCGCAGCCATGGAAAACTGCTCTTCTGGAGTCAGAACTGCCAGTACCTGCTTTACAGAGGGGAAGGAGAGGCACAGAGCCACCTCTTTCCCTCCCTCCTCAATTCTGGCATGCCACACCTGAGAGGCCAGCACCTGGATGACAAGCTAGGGGAGCCCCTGCCCTTGCACATGCACAGCATCTTCCCAGTGCTGCTGCAGTATCAAACCTCAGCGCTGGGGGTCCAAAATCAAGGGTGGCCATGGAACACAGCCCCAGGAGCTGCCCTGTGCCACTGCCTCCTTTCCCTGCCTGAGCTACAACCCCAGGGCTCACTAAGAAAAGTGTTATCTTGAAGCTCAGAGGCAACAATACTTCATTATTTTTCCAACAACAGAGTTCTAACAAGGCACATGACAAAAGGGCAGGAATTGGTCGAGGTTTACAATTGCCAGTGCAAACTCAGGAAAAAGAAAAAAATGCAAACTCCCTGGGTGGTGAAAAATATTGAGAGCCAACGGATCGATACTGCTCGCTGCCACTGCCTTTCCATGCCACCAGTCCACCCAGGACAGGCAGAGCCAAGCTTACATGGTTTTTGAGTTCCCCAGGCACTCCTGAGAGTAAACATGCCCTTAAGTACTTCTTCCTTTCTAGAACTAGGGACTGGGTTTGAAGTTCTCTATCTGAAGCATTTGACACCTGCTTGGATACTACAGAGTGAAGAAGAACAGGCACAGAGCTTACTCTCGGCTCATACCCAAGAGCTGGGACAGCTGCTTTCCCAGGAGGGTGCCTGCCCCATGGGCTGCTGCTTAATGTAGCCTAGAAGCAGGGCCCTCAGCTTCTGACAGGTTACATTAAACTTACCACATGCCACTGTCCAGGTGCACTGCTGAAGTTCCCCTTTGCATGTGTCCCTAAAGAATCCAGATCCTGAGAAAACAGGGAGGCACTGCTGCTCAGAGGGATTTTGGCACAGAACTGCCAGATATGACAGCCCAGAGAGCGCGAATCTTGCACAGATACTCCAAGAGATGGCTGAAAAGTACCCAAGTCACAGGTCCTGCCCCACATTGTCTCCTTTGCTCAAGTGGGACCCAGGACCTCTGGGAGCTGATGCTGGTTTTAACTAGGCTAATTGTTAACACCTGAACTAGGAAGGTGCAACCACACTAGCAGAGCTGAACCTTTAGCTAGTCCCCAGAATAGTTTGAGCCAAGAAAATGTTTAATTAATATGGTCCAGATTAGAGCAGATTCTGGCTGCCCCAAGGTCTTCTTGATCTGCCTTATCCCCACACTGTGGCTTAGAAATCAAATAAGGCTCTTGTCAGAATGGGATCACTCAGCAGCAGAAGCAGAACTAGGGATGACTCCGTGCCTACTTCCTTCCCTACCTGCAGCCAGGTAGCTCTTCTACCACCACACTTGCTCCTTTTGGATTACAGATTAACCCATGCCCAAATTGAAGGAGGATAAAGAGAAATTTTGTTCTACTCTTTCCACTGAACTTTCAAACCCTGTAACTGCACAAATATCCATTTCCTCAAAATGGAGGGCTATTTCACTCCTGAATTTTTCCTACCCTCATTTTCCCTCCTTCTCTCTTTTCATATTTTTCCTTTCTGCTCTGCTTTACCCCATGTAATCTTTGTTTCCTTTGCTCCTCCTGCTTTCTCCCTTCCTTTCCCATCTCCAGCCCTGTGCCCCTTCTCACATCTTGAGCCGACTCAAGAGGCTTCTGTCCTTTCTTTTGTCCCTTGCAGCATCCACCTCTGGCCCGGGGAGATGGGGAGCCCTGGCCTGGCTGTTCTCACGTGCCACACTCCAGGGACTTGCACAGCACAGCGATTTTCACAGCACTGGTTCTCTTGACAAGCCTCTTTTTTGATCACTACTCATTTTAGTAATACTGACAGGGATACAGACAGACTCCCACACAGGTAAGGTCTTGGTTTTCTGAAACAAGCCCACATCTTAAATTAACCTCTGGGAGAGGTGTTTTGTCTTTTCATGGGTCTGTAATTACCAAGCTTACCAGTGCATGGTATAAATAATTTTCTTTATTGGCAAGTTGATCAACTATGTGCTCAGCCTATACAAGACACAATGATGCAGAAAGTTCTTATCCCAGATAAGAGGGAAATAGGGGGGAAATGGAAGCTAAAGGTAAAGGATAGAGTCATACTTTTCAAGTATTACATTCCATTCTGTAGAGTTACAAACAGGACTGAGCTTAAAGAAGTGTCTGAGTAAGACAGCAATAATCAGGAGACAAGACGTCTGCAGCTATCATGTTCTCCTGATCCCATTTGATTTTTGGGTCGTTCCCTGGTCCAGGTCTGACCATGGAAAACAAGGATCCAGCAGCATGTCACTGCAAGGTTCACTCGCAGTACCTAGCTGGCTATTGGTGGGTTCTTTGGAGACCTTTTGCCTTCTGAATGCCAGAAACTACAGAATCCACATAGTGCTTGGGAATGGCCTTTGCTGAGGTAGTTTTTTGGTCAGGCAAGCCTACGAGCCAAATGAGTTAGCTGCATGACAAAACATCTTTCCTCTTTCTCCAGGTTCCTGACTCCTACACATGTCAGAAAACTCTCTGCAGTAACCTAGCAAGGCTGAACTTGCCCTGATCTTCAGAATTCCAAAGGAGGACAAATGGAGGTGAAAAAGTGTCAGCCCTAAAAAGACACCACAAGCTCTACCCAAAGGGGAGTGGTCGACAAGGAAGTGTGATATCAGTATTTCAGTGACTATCTGAGCAGTTCATTGAGAGAGGCCCTCAGTAAAACAGTGAATTTTGGTTTAACATCTTAATATATGATATTTTAAACCCATGTTATTTTAAAACCACATTTCATTAAAAAATGGGTTTTCATCATTAGTGCCTCAGAAGCAAAGAGGGCAGTGTGCAACCCAGTGGGGGAAAGAAAGAGAGAAACATGCACACTGCAAATTCACAAATATTTCCCACTGTATCCACATGGGAAGGAAATTTCAGAGTTTACTCCCTGTATTGTGGGCTGCCACAGCTTGGTAGGCCTAAGAGGGAGATTTTACTCTGGGTTCTCCTGAATGCTGACCACGCTGCTTTTCAGGGCTGTCTCTGAAACAGTACATGGAAGAAGATGACTTGAAGCCAAGGAGGTCAGAATTAGGATTCACATTTCTAAACAGATGGAATATAGACTTGCTTTCTTAAGCCTGGTCAGCTAGGAAGGATAAACTACAATATTGTTTTCTGCCAACAATAAAACTAACAGATCTGCCCATAAAATTATCACCTCTTTAATTTCTAGGGTAGCAGCTTTGAATTCATATCCCCACTGACAGAAATGTGCTTACAACATAGAACAAAGCCCTGTTTTGCTAATGCAAAACATTAATTCATCCCACCAACATGGTAACTCCTGGCTAAAAATGATGTCCTGCAAGAATCAGCCACGCTACTCACTCTACTTGCCAATCATCCCTAGAAGTATTGCTTTTACTGTGTTTTGTACAGCACTAAAATCACTGCTGGCTCTAAACAAAAATAATGAGAACAATAATGATAGTACTAATCCTTCTAGCCAGGTTACATGCTCACTTTGCCACTCTGACCACTATGGACCTTTCCAGCTGCTTAAACAAGAGACTGCAAGGAGAAGGGAAAAAACAACTTCTGCAACACTTGCTCTATTTCTGAGCAAAGGAGCAGGGTGACTTCTTAAAGCTCTTAGCACTGGGCTGAGAGCCAGGACTATCTCTGAGATGAGCTTCCTTTGTGGTCTCATCGCTTCCCTTATAACAGAGATTTAAAAGCCACTTGTTTCCCACCAATGACAAGCAATGACATAAGAATTAGTTAATATCTTGGTGGTGGTTTGGAAATACAAAACCACATTCAATGCGACAGCTTCCCAAAGAGCAGAAGTTTTAGTGCAAACTTATTCTATCTCAAATATTACATGAGAAAAAACCCCCAAACCAATACAAACCCAGAAGACAAGCTTGAGCTTTAAGTTGTCAAAGAGTTTAAATTTCTTCCTTGATTGGAACCTCTTGGAGCATCTGGAAGAAAAATCCATTTTCCTCTGTGTTTAGCAAATGCCAATTCCCCTTCCACCCTATTGTTGGTAATTGGGCACAGATAACTCCAATTTACTGTGTCTACATAGCAGCATCATTGCCAGCACGACCGCAGCTTTGGGAATGCTCATGGACTGACACTGTTGCAGAGCTAGGAGAAAAAGCATCCAAACAGGATCAGTGAGAGAGAGAGAGAACTACCTAAGCAGTATCAAAAAGTCTAAGTTAAGATCATTTTTCAGCCAGGTAATGATTAAGTAAATGCATCCTTTTACAATCTGGAACACAAATGCTGTAACAAAAGGGACAAAAATGTCTTATCTACTTGGATTCTGGAGACAAGTAGGTGCCTCAGAAAAGCAGTAATAACTGCTTTAACATCTCCTGTCTAGTTAACGTTAACCGTGCTCAAATTTAAATATGGTTAGTAGTGAATTTCCCTTCCATTCCCTCCTGAATCAGCAAAGAAAACAGAAGGATTATGGAGTCTCCAGGCATAGCCTGCTACCTCCAAACACTGCAGTGTTTCC